GAGAGCTACATTTGCAAGATATGAACTGATTCCCTGCTTTTAGGTTTGCTCTTGTGAATATACTTTCTGCATTGTACAGAGAGTGCTTTTCTGATATGATTGAGCATATGTTCTGATGATAAAGTTCAGAGTTGACACCACAGCACACAAGACATTTTACAGTCTGCTTGTCTTTGTCCTCATCGTTCATGTTCTTGCCCGCTGAGCTTTCTTTTGTCCCTTGGTCTTGCCATATTGACACATCTAATAAGTGAATTCTGCTTGCTTTGGGTTCTGATTTGGATATTTCCTCTCCTAGCAAACTCCCCTGTGTTGGACCAGGCATTCTCAACATTCTTTTCTACAGTACCATGTTTCTCTCATCACATCCAAAGTATAATTGTCTTTTTCATAATAATATCAATCATAATACCCTCAACCAAATACCCTTACTTCTTTATTATCTAGTTCATGTTTAATGAATGAAAAAATTTACACTGATGTCTATCTTAACTCAAACCCCATGAATCTCAAATGAGAGTGTGTATTCCAATCAAGCCTCTTTGAACATCTGTCTCCTCTCACTCCATCTAAAACTCAAAAGCAGTAAGACATGTCGTACTTGTCCTCACAGATCCAGAAACAGGCCTGCTGTAGGTCTTCCAGGAATCCCCACTGACGGTCCTGACACTGAACTGGTAGGACCTTCCCGGCCGAAGCCCATACACAATGCGTCCTTCCGACTTTTTGTTGCTGTAGGGGTTGAAGATTGTGAGCGGATCCCTGGGCAGCCACTGGAGCTCGAAGTCATTGTAGTCTGTCCAGTCTGGGGGTCCCTTCCAGGTGATGGCCAAGGATGTGTTCGCAACATCAGCAAAGGACAAAAGACTGGGAGGAGTTGGGGCTGTGTGTAGGAGAAAAATAAAAAGCCGTAGAATCACACCAGTGCTCGGCATACACAGATAAGATCACCAAATGACATCAGATATACTGTAATGTACTTTGTAGGGAAGGACAGTTTGGTAAAAAGGTAGTAGAAGCTCTGAGTTATGCTATTTACTATGTACAAGGCGCTGTCCTCCAATGTGTTGCGGAACTTGCCGTATTCATGATCACAACCTCCTTATCAGAGTACTGTAGAGCATGAATGTGTCCTGAGTGGATTAGAGGTGTGGGCTGGTGTTGATTCCTGGGGCTCCAGGGTGGGAATTCCTAGCCAATTATGCCCAGTTTTAGATAGCATTGATTGACTGCAGGGCGGCATACGGATAACTATGTGTGCCCAAGATACAGACGTTTCGGAATCACAGGTCATAGTACCATAATGATGATGTGCATCATTATCCCCACTTTACAGACATGAAAATTGAGATTCGGAGAGTCCAGAGACTTACCAGCTTCCTACAGGGAAGTGGCAGTGCTAAGCTAAGGACCTAATTCTTTTTTATCACAGAATGTGTCTCTCACCCACTGTACCATAATGCTCTTGTACAGGTTAGTGCATGGCACATCACTGCTAATTTTGTTATCAAAATCATAATTTAAAGTGTCTTTAAATGAAAAGAAAGCTACCTCCATCCACCCCCTGGCCACTGGTGATTGGCTTCCTTACCTGTTCTGCCTTCTCCAGTGATCCTGTTGCTCAGGTCTCCACTACGCGTCACCACGCACAGAGTGTACTTCCTCCCAGGGACCAGGCTGTGAAAACGCCACTCCGTTAGGTCCCTGTGTTTCCAGTTTTCCTTCTTAGTGCCATTAGGGTTGTAAAGAATCAGCTCATAAAAGTCCAGGTCCCCCGGGGCCGGAGTCCAGCTGAACCAAAGGCTGTCGGTTGTGTTCTGGTTAGATCCCCTGAGGTGGCTCACAGGAGCTGGGACTGCAACAGAAAATAAAGCTCTCATTGAGACCTAAGCAGCACCAAAGGCATTTTGGCCTACAGGTGAGAACCTAAGCTACGCTGCACACACAGGTGAGCAGCATGTATCGTGGGGTCAGTTCTTACCCACGTTCAGGTCACTCTCATGGAGGGCTGTGGTGGCTTATGATATGGTACAAATTAAAACAAAGCAAAGCAAAGCAAGGCAAGCAAAACAAGACAGGTGGTATCTTCGATATGCTTGTACTTTGACGAAGGGATAAAATAAAATCTTCATCAATACTGAGTGAGTAATTTGCCTCTTAGGTTACAAAAGACCCAGAGAATGTTTATAAATGCACCCCTTTGCCAACAGCCCCATCCCACAGCCTCTCTCACTCTGGGTCTCTGTTTCCTGTCCATTGGCCTTTGGCTCTCAATTTTTTCATACTTTTCATCAAAATCTGTGTTGCCCTGTCTTATTGAAGAACTCTCCAGTCGCTTCTACCACTTTGCAGGTATAAACCAGTCACACTGCCACATGCTCTCTGTGCACAGAAGTCTTGTTATTCGTCAGACAGTGAAGACTGCTGCTCTCTTCTGGGTACTTTTACACATTAGTGAGCAGAGAAGGGGAGTGGGGTGTGGACAGGTTGCCTTGGAAATGATGACATCTAGGTGATCTGATTCACGCTCCACGTTTCTCAGGGCTCTTTTTCATTTTCTCCCGCAGAATTTCCACTGCTGCCCTCAGGACTTGTTCTTCACAGGATGCCCGCACCTTCCTGTCTCAGCTGAAATGCCTCCTCTGTAGAAAGTGTTCCTCTGTCCTTCCAAGTTGTTGTCTTGACACATTTTAAATTTCTTTCATAGAATTTAAGGTGTTCCACAATGATATCTCTGTAAAATTTACTGTCCTAGCTCTTCTCTCTGTTAATGTAGAGCTCTCTGAGATAAGCAGTCTTGTCTGTCTTGTTCACTGTCATATCCTAGCAATGTGCTGCATGCCTGGCACATAAAAGCACCCAAAACCATTTCCAAACCATGATAACAAGTTGAATGGGAGAAAA